ACACACACACACACACGTCAAACAGAGAACAGCTCACACAAACTGCTCACTGTACCTCATGTACCACAACAGACAATAGAAAAGAAAGCTGGTTTTCAGCTGAGCAGCCATGCATTTTTGAAATTACATGAGGCATCTTGAAGGACCATAAAGGTTAACTTGTATTAAAGACGACATCTGAAATAATTAGATGCACTGATTTCAAAACAGTAGTGATATTGATTAGTAAGTTTAGTGGTGTAAATAGTCAGCATTCCTTGTTGACTTTCCTCCCACTCTTTAATCTCTCACCCTCTCAGATCTCCACCCTTCCCCCATTTCCCCATATTTTTCCATTTAGTCATTCCTTTCCTTTTCTACTCTTTTTTCCCCCATCCCCTCTCTTTCCTGTCACCTCCCTCCCGCCCCTCTCTGTCTGTTTTCTGTTGGCGAGTTGGGGAGAAAATCATATTTGCCTGCTCCCTCTGGCCTGCTGATATGGAAAATCATCTCGGAGGCCAGCCACTAACGTAAACCTTATTTCTGTTTTCTTCTCCTCCCCTTCTTCTCTTCCTGCCCTCTGTTTCCGCCTTTGTTTTATCCAGATCCGCACATTCCCTTTCCATCTGTCACCACTGCATCCTCTCGTAGTTTTCCGTAGCTCTGAACAGAAATGACAACTGCAAATGCACCGAATTACCCACAACTGACGAGATAGATCAGAGGAATAGTGAGTGAGATAAACCGCGAACATTAAACTAACTGTACTCATCAGTGGGTTTCATTAAATGATCAGATATCCGCCAATGTCACAAATTCAACTCTGACCCAAGTGGCATCACGATTCTGCGCAGCTTATAACTATATGTGCATATGTTATTTACCATAAATACAAGCTGCTGACTGAGAAAACAGATCCATTCAGTCTCCATAGTGGTAATTAAAGTAGAAAATGTGTTCGTATCCTCCCATTTTTCCCAGTTGGCATCATGACTTGGAAAAGTGTGTCAACACACAGGCAGCGAATCCTCCAATGTTGACAATCCAAGGTAATAAAAATCCAAGTTTCTATTCATACTAATACAGTCAGCTGTACTTACAGTGAGCAAAATCTGCTTTAGTTTATTTATGATTGACTGTAATGTGATTTGCTGAGGGGAAAATCCACTCAAAAACACTTAAACACTGTTTTATAAAAAACAAGAACTGGAAATGTGCCTTGCTTTTCTGGGCAGGTTTTGCTGCTTGGCATATTTTTGGTATTCTCATGGATAATGGGGCCAAACATATATTTTGGGATGTCGTTATATTTCCAGTGCAGCCACAATGGAGTCTGATAGCAACAAATCTTGAGATTCAACAATATAAAAGTCAAGATTTGGTGTCAGAGCTTCAGAGATGCCATTTTTACACTGATGTTTAACAGTCATGTTGGGAGAAATCTATCTGCAAAAGGCAAAAAAAATACTAAATTCTCCACAGAAAGTAGCTTTTCAACTGGAAAAACTGTCACACTGTTGCTGTTACAAGAGCTAGATTGAAATAACACCTATGATAATGTTCGACTATTTTAGGATGGAATTTTTATTTAACCCCAATGGAGAAAAGTTTCTAAAAAAGAAAAGAAAAGTTGGCTCAAATTATGCAAGAAATGCTGCAATTTTCAAGAGTGCATTCCCACATTCACACCTTTAAGGCACACTATGAGAGTTTTAATTAAGGATGGATCAATCAGGTCGGCTCAAAATGCTTGGCACTCATTGTAAATGCTTTCATGCTAAATACAAAGTGTCTATGAAAAGCACCCAAAAAACGTCAAGGTTATTTTCTCATTTTTGGATCATAACAGATCTGGTCTTGCATTTATTAAACCGACTGATATAGTACAGTACAGGCAGTATGTTGGACGAGCCAACGTTAAAAAAAAAAATCAGTGAGGGAAAAAAACATAACCCTGCACCCTCTTTTGTGTGTTCGTCTCAGCAGCTGCTGAAGAGTGCTTGATGAAATCTAGAGTGAAACAAAACGGCAAGACAACAGATAACAGGCCATACCGTCCCAAGGTTTCTCACTATTCTAAAGAGAGAAAGGGAGGAGGAGGAGGAGG